CACACACACACACACACACAGAGACACTCACACACACTCACACTCACTCACTCACTCTCACACACATACACTCACTCACTCACTCACTCACTCTCTCTCTCACACACACACACACACACACTCACTCACTCTCACACACTCACACACTCACACTCACACACAGAGACAGGTAGCGGCGGCACTGGAACAGTTGTTTTTGGGTTATGTAAGCTGGTTTCAGTGCCGATGAGCCTGTGGCTGAATGAGGGAGTTTATGTGTGTGATTGGAAGCAGATGAAATTATGCCAGAGCTCGAACACAAGTGAAAGCCAGGGGCATTTTCTCATCGTCGTACACAGCTGATCAGTTTCTCACACTTTGCACTGCTGATATAACAAACAGACATCAGGAGACACAGAACAGATCTGGCAGCATGTCCTCCTGGAGCTCTTCCCAGCAAATCCTGTATCCTCCTTCCCAAATAAACAGCAGGCAGCCTGGGTCAGCTGTTCTCCACCTGTACTCATGTGATCTGTACTCACTCCTCCATACATGTGCTCAGTGCAGGAGCAGATGTCAGGCATACAGTTGCTCCAAATGTAATTGGACACTTATGTCACACTTACTGTAATTATGTCTGAATGGCGTGATTTTTCTCCCAAGCTCATAGCTGAGTTCATCGGTCAGCTCAATCACACAGTCCTTTATTAACAAACATTCAGACTTCATGGATTCAGTTGAGAGTTCGGGAAATTCATAATGTAATGCTATCAATCAGGATATATATGCATTCTTCACATTTGAATAAAAGCTTCATTTGTTGTCTGTAACACATTTGAACATAACACATTTGAATAAAAAATAAATAATTAATAAAGCCTAAATGTAGGCTGCTGTAAGATTGGAAATGTATTTTCTTGCCCCTGGAACACATTTTTTCCACATATATTTTGGTATATGCGGGTAAATGTGAAATATGAAAGTAAATATTCATTTCAAAAATATGATATTAACACATACAGTACTGCGCAAAAGTCTTAGAACTCTAGTATTCTCACCAGCTAAAAAAAGTGGTTTTATTTCTATCTTTTGCTGTAAGGCAAGGCAAGGCAAGTTTATTTATATAGCACATTTCACTGTACACTGCAATACACTGCAATCAGTTCGGACATTATTTTTGACAGCATCCTCATTTTACAGCATTTTTACACAAGTGCCTAAAACGGTTAACAGTTCTGTAGCTTTGCAGGAGGTTTCTTGGAGCATCAGTTCTTCTGGATTGAGTCTGTCTCAGTTTGTTCTGTTTCTTCATGTGACTCCAGACAGACTGATGATGATCAGATCTGGGCTCGTATTCACAAAACATCTTAAGGCTAAAAGTAGCTCATCATTACTCTGAGCTTAAGACTTCTCTCTGTTCCTTAGTAAAAGTTTGTCTCAGCAGCTTTGTGAATAGGTTTTTAAGAGAAAACTCTTAGCTATTTAGGAGAACTCTTAGTGGTAAGATAAATGTTTTGTGAATACGGGCCCAGATCTCTCTGTGGAGCACTGGCTGCTGTCAGACAAAAATCTCACTGCATTATTACGATTTATGGCAAAATGAATGTTTGGAAATGTAAACCGATATTTCCTACTGACACACTACAGCAAAAGATAGAAATAACTGACTTAAAACCATTTTTTTAGCTGGTGAAAATACTAGTGGCCTAAGACTTTTGTACAGTACTGTATATTTAGCATATACTAAAAAAGTTTAATGTTAGGGAGGCAATTAGCACTGACATTACCAATCTTGAGAATTGGTGCTGGAGCACTTAACTGGTTTAGGGTAAGAAAAAAAGTCACTGCATTAGATAACAACATATCAAAGCATGTGTCATTTTAAAGAAAGTAGCACAAGCACATTTGTCAAGTAAAATATTTCACAACATGTGAAAACACAATTTGAAACAAAATGATAAAAATAGACAAGTATTAGCACTTTGTGCTAGTGAATAATTAGTGTTCATAGTTAATGTAATGAACAACATCTGTGTGAAGTTGAGGAGAACTGCCTTCATACATCCACTAAAACTCACCAAAACACCAGTTGATTAGAAGTCATTGCAAAAATGACTTGGTGTTAGTTCTGAGAAAGCACAGATGACATTCGTTTTGATATTTTGTATCTAATGCAATGACATCCAAACATTTTTGAGAGTGACTTGAAGGCACAGTATGTGAGATTTTTTATTAAAATATCCAAAAACCACTAGAACAGTGTTATATATTTTGCTGACTTGTGTACTTACATTATCCCAAATGTTTCGAAGAATGTTTAAATCCAGAGAAATAAGCAATTTTAACTAGTGACACGGACCGTGCCCATAGTGTCATAGTGTCCATAACCCCTCGATTTCCGGTTTTGTAGAAAACATGGAAACACCAAAAACGCTTTAATATGTTGTGCGTTTTAATAAACCGGTGATGACCGCACAGAGTACCATTATAACAGAACTTTCAAATGTATCTAGTATGATAAAACAGCACTGCTTTTCCCCCCCCACATACGCACGACCGGAAGAAGCGGAAGCGCTCGACTGTGGCATAATAAAAGCTCCGCTGCTTTACCCCACATACGCACGACCGGAAGCAGCGGAAGCGGTCGACTGTGGCATAATAAAAGCGCCGCTGCTTTCGAGCCGTGTGTCACGCTCGGTCAGCGGTTTCGTTTCGCTTCGACGGCTTTCAGCCTCACCCTACTACATTAATAAATCATTAGCTCATCCATGAACATCCATGAACACGAGTCCCGTCGGATTGCATCGGCTGTGGGGATGAAGACCACAACTCCCATGATTCCACACTCAGTCACAGCGTCATCTAACTACACCTTTGTCTCTTTGTTTATTTTGAATACGCGCCCTCCAGCGGCGAAAATTACATATTGTGCCTTTAAGTGTCCAAATCCATTTTCAAAGCAGAGCCAACGCTTTGAAAATGCAAACAGAAAAACAGAGATGTAATTGGATATTCTGTGTGAAGTCCCTCAGTCTCCACAGGAGGAGCTCAGAAGCAGATGGACCTCTGTGAGGATCACCTGAGCAGTGTTTACCCTGTCCAAAACACCAGCCAGAATTGACCTATTGGCTGGTTTATGCGGTTTGATGCGCTAAAGCCAATTTGTCTGCTTTAAGTCTTTGATGTGCTTCAAGTCTGTGACGTGGTTCGCTTTTAACATGCTTTTTACACTCTATTTTGATAGTCCACTTTAGACATTCTACTAAATATGAGTAACTTTGCAACTCCATGTCAACTAGCAGTCATTGATTAGAATATTAGTAGACTGTCTGCTTAATATCTGCACTTTATTTTGATGCTCCCCCAACAGACATTCTATTGACTAGTAACTTTGCAATTACATGTCAAGTTATTCTGCTAACACTAAACCGAACACTAACCTGACTCAAAAATGGTTGTGTTTAGGGTTGGGTGCAGGTATGGCTGTCTAATCCTAATACAACTCAAAAACAACCACCCAAACTCTAAACCTAATGCTCACTAACCACTAACACTTACATTACAGCGATATCGTCAGCTTGATTGCACAGATACTATTTGAACTGAACTGAGCTGGATGATAACATCACTCAATCAGAGATCAACTGACTTTAGCTGAAAATTGAATGTTTACTGTTGTCCTTTTGCATTATTACTAGTGCTGTCAAACGATTAATCGCGATTAATCGCATCCAAAATAAAAGTTTTTGTTTACATATGTGTGTGTACTGTGTATATTTATTATGTATATATAAAGACACACACATACAGCATATATTTTGAAAATATTTACTTGTATTTACATGTATATATTTATATTCAAATAAATTATATCATATATAAATATATTTAATATATAAACATAACATATTTTTCTTAAATATATACATGCATGTGTGTGTATTTATATATACATAATAAATATACATAGTACACACACATATATTATGCAAACAAAACTTTTATTTTGGATGCGATTAATCGCGATTAATAGTTTGACAGCACTAATTATTACACACTAATTTTCCTATTTAATACTGTAAAGCTGCTTTGACACAATCTGTATTGTTAAAAGCGCTATATAAATAAAGGTGACTTGACTTGACTAACCAAATGGAGGTGCTGTAGAAAACAAACAAACAAAAAAAACAAGCAAATCCAACCGAAAACCAAGCAAAAACCACACAAAACATGCAGTTGGGATTCTGGGTCAGAACCCAAGTGGATTGAAAGAACATCTCAAGTGTAATACACTACAAGTTTCATTCCAATCAGACCTTCCTAAAGCAAGATATACCACATCATTGAGGATCGCTCCGGAGCGATCAGTAGTTTCTAGCCCATAAACCTAGACTAGCCCGAACCAGGCAAAAACCACCAAGAGGTTGGCGACATTAAGTCCAAATTAACATCAGATGAATGCGCACCTTATTTTTTTATCCCTATAGGCCTAACCCAACCTTAACCTAAGGGTCTACTAATACTCTAATGACATTTAGTTGACATGTAGTTGCAAAGTTACTTATAGTTATTAGAATGGACTATCAAAATAAAGTGTTGCCTGCTTTCTGTACACTAAATGCTCTAGATTTACATTATTTTCCTATTGTATGATTCCAAATGTTTTTGTGTGTTATAAAGCTAATGATACACAATCACGTTGGAACAATGAAAATGTTTAAGGATTTTTTTTAAAAATCTCACACAACAATTTTTGTGCATTCTTTAGTATTTTAAAACAATTCCCAATTTATAACTTGTTGAATTAAATTTAATATAATTGTCAACTGGTGTGCAACAGAATATTTTGTAGCACACACTCTGCCACCAATCTGGGGTGTTGCTAATAAATTTTGTTTTGTTTTTCTAATGACAGGAGGCAATGCATCCACGTCACCGTGCTTCAGGGAACCAGATATCGACAGAGCAGTGGAGGAGGCCATATATAACCCAGATATATCCAGTGTTTGTAGCCAGGATGACACAAACATTGCTCTTGACCTGGACAATGAATCTCTTTCGGACCCCCTTCCGCCTCTCCCTCCACCCCTGGAGAGCCCTGAGCCGCCTCTGCCCCGCGAGCCGAGCCCTCCTCCGCTTCCCGTGGTCAATCCGGCACGACCCACCACTCTGTCTCTGAAAACACTGCCCCGGCCCACACTCAGCAGCACCGCGGCCTCCACCACCAGCGCCATCACCAGGGAGAACGGAGGACCGCCGAGCAAAGACCCAGAAGAAGAGGAGAAGAAGCTGATGGAGGAAGAGCTGAAGAAATGCATCGAGGATTTCAGGAAAATCCGCATCCCAAAACTTTTCCCAGACCGCAAGAGACACTGGCAGAGTGATCTGCTCAAAAAATACAATGCGTAATACCGATAAACCACCCTTCTGAAAACACCAGCATTGTTTGGGTTCTGGGTCTGGTTGCACCAGCTATACTGAAAGTAAATGATTTTGCCTAGTTGTGGCATAAAGGTGCACTGCGGTTTACACATTGTGTGATTAAATGACTTGTTAGAGACTCTTCAATGGGAGCCTGATCTAAACAGCGCACCTGTGTGGTTCACTCTGTGTTATGCATGCCAAAAAGTCTAAATGCATTTTTTTTGTGTCAGTATTTATTGCTCCTTAATAATTTCAAATACAGTTCTTGAATACTTCTTAATTACCTGTTATATTATTTTATGATTAAAGTTGCCGTCCATAAGTTTCGCCTCTTTGTCGCCATCTTTGTTTGAAACCTGCAATTGCAGTTATTTGCGGAGTTATCTTCTTTGCATGGGTCGTGCAGCGGCATGTTTTCAGGAGTATGTGTGTGTGGCAGTCAGTCACCACACCGGTGTGAATACTGTACTTAACAATCACAGATTATACGTCTTGGAAGTATGACCCAAATAAGAATTTTCAACAGAAAATTTCATCTGAACAAGTAAATAATATGTCTGCCACTTTTGTTCTGACCAACTGAGGAAAAAAAGCTTTACAATACATTACGCTATCAATGGTGATTAGCCTAAATTGAATGATCGCTTGGCTCATATCACATCAAACATGCAAATTATTATTGTTATGCTTTGTTCTCAAAATGCTAATGTTAACAATATAAGCATTGCGTTGGCTACGTGTATTTAGTGTGTATTAGCATTAACTGTGGACTACAGGTGAACCTCCAGTTGTCACTGATGATTTACCTTTCTGGATTACAATCTGCCTTCAAAATGATAAATTTAATTATTCCAGCTGCTGTGAGAAACGGCTATTAATGATCCGCCACCTGCAGCATCCTCACATGCGATATAACCAGTCCCACTCAAATTAGAAAACAGTATTATAGGCTTACCATTGTGAATCGGGCTAAGGTAAGGAGATGGTTTTGAACACTGGCTGGTTATGTACTTGCCCAAAAATTCATTATGGATCATTTTTAACCAAAAAAAAGTTACGGACTGCAGCTTTAAGTACTAATGACTTTACAGAGCTTCCAAACTGCTGATTAAATTTAATTCAGTGTTGTCATTTCAGCATTACAATTGTGAAAATGCAATTGTGAAAATTATTTTGGACAACATCACAATGCATTACAGAGCAGTTGTGTCTTTTGTTGAGTCCAGAGACTATTAGCAGTTTAGTAACATGTAGACTAAACAAATCTTCCTCAAAACTGGTTTGTTTAAAAAGCATAAAGACATCCTGAATTAAAATGTTTGTGTATTTCAGGTTGGGTTTGGTTTTTAAATGTATCGGTTTATTTTTCAAGCCTTTGATGGTTCGAGATTTAAAAAAAAAATTTTTACATCATAAACTGAGCATGATCATTTGTGTAGACAGAAAACATTCTTGTATCATGAATAAATTATGGTAAAACACATTTATTGGTTAATTTAATAGTATGGACCACTAATATATGAAACCAAATAGTTCCTGCAAATTTCTGTAATAGTAAATAAAGCAATAATACCTTAAAGTCGAAGTGTGTAATTTCTGTGTCAGGATACTCAAACAAACAGAGCTCAAGAAATGCTTGGTTTGAGTCATGTGTTTACACATTTAAAGGAATCAAATTGCTTTTTAACACATTTCCATGACTCTCATGTAATGTCATCAGAGAACAACACAAGGAAATTAATTAACACATGGTCAGTCCTATCCAGCACTCTTAAAAATAAAGGTGCTTAAAAGGTTCTTTACAGCGATGCCATAGAAGAACCATTTTTGGTTCCACAAAGAACCATTCAGTCAAAGAACCATCTCTTTCTTACCTTTTTTATAATCTGAAGAACCTTCTTTCGCCACAAAGAAGCTTTTGTGAATCAGAAAGTTTCTTCAGATGTTAAAGGTTCTTTATGGAACCATTTAGACAAAAAGGTTCTTCTATGGCATCGTTAAGCACCTTTATTTTTAAGAGTGAAGTTACCCCAAGTAGCCTGGGGTTGCTCGAGGACACAATGGTAGTGACTCTATCTCTACCTCTATCTAGATCTAGCAACCTTACAGCCCTGAGTCTTAATTGCTACACCACACCACCCACATAGACTGTGGTAATGCACTGAAGTAAGCTCTTGAATCACCTGAAACTTCATTTCTTTTTCTTTTATAGAATTATTGATAATCTGGTTGCACCAGGTTTGACGTTAATGACAGCAGATGACATTGATTCTCATGTGTTTCCCTTATAGTATAAGTTAAGCCAAGGTCACTCAGCCTGCATAGTGATACCAGACTGGTACCAGACTAGAATTATTATTTCAACCAATAAAGCTTCAATGATATTCTTTCAGATCTTTCACAAGTGGTCTGTGTGCCCAAAAGCTCTAATGAACTTTGTGTTTGGATAGAAACCATGAATAGTCTTCTCCAACACTCAGATGGTGTTGCATTCTTCGGTTTAAAAACGGTTACAGAGAAAAGACTCACCCTGTAATACAATTAGCGCACTCATGCTTTTAAGAAAGCATCTTGAAAAATGAAACACAGGTGGAAGAATAACAATTTAGAGCAGGAGTTCTCGACTCTGGCCCCCGAGGTCCACTGCCCCCCAGAATTTAGCTTCAATCCTAATCAAACACACCTGAACAAGCTCCTCAAGGTCTTCAGGAAATTACTAGAAAGTTACCGGAAGATGAGTTTGATCAAGGTTGGAGGTAAACTCTGCAGGAAAGTGGACCTCGAGGGAAGAGTTGAGAACTCCCGATTTAGAGGTATTTCAAGGGTACTTTCTAGGTTTTTAGTATAGTGGCCACTGGCCAGACATGGAAGTGGCAAGAGAACCAGATATTCCATTACAGTGCCGCAGTAATTATTTTATGAATGATATGAATGACCAAATTGGGACAGTCAAAAGGAAACCTGGACTTATGCAACCAGGAGGTGAAGTGGAAAGAAGTAAAAGTGACCTTATGTACATACCCTATTCTAGGGCACAACAAGACCTTAGCTAAACTGAGAGCAAAATCTGTACTGATAAGGCATGTAAATCTCCAATCTGCTTTAGGGATGTTAAAACATCAACAAAACCACCTCAAGTGTCAGAATCCGACTTTGTGTTTGGATAGAAACCATGAATAGTCTTCTCCAACACTCAGATGGTGTTGCATTCTTCGGTTTAAAAACGGTTACAGAGAAAAGACTCACCCTGTAATACAATTAGCGCACTCATGCTTTTAAGAAAGCATCTTGAAAAATGAAACACAGGTGGAAGAATAACAATTTAGAGCAGGAGTTCTCGACTCTGGCCCCCGAGGTCCACTGCCCCCCAGAATTTAGCTTCAATCCTAATCAAACACACCTGAACAAGCTCCTCAAGGTCTTCAGGAAATTACTAGAAAGTTACCGGAAGATGAGTTTGATCAAGGTTGGAGGTAAACTCTGCAGGAAAGTGGACCTCGAGGGAAGAGTTGAGAACTCCCGATTTAGAGGTATTTCAAGGGTACTTTCTAGGTTTTTAGTATAGTGGCCACTGGCCAGACATGGAAGTGGCAAGAGAACCAGATATTCCATTACAGTGCCGCAGTAATTATTTATGAATGATATGAATGACCAAATTGGGACAGTCAGAAAGAAACCTGGACTTATGCAACCAGGAGGTGAAGTGGAAAGAAGTAAAAGTGACCTTTGGTGCATACCCTATTCTAGGGCACAACAAGACCTTAGCTAAACTGAGAGCAAAATCTGTACTGATAAGGCATGTAAATCTCCAATCTGCTTTAGGGATGTTAAAACATCAACAAAACCACCTCAAGTGTCAGAATCCGACTCTAAATGCTCAAAGTCTTTTGAGCTCAAAGCCATAGTGACGTTAAACCCTAAGACTGTAGATAATTCCCAAGAAGAAACATGAGCAGGATGAACTCAGCCTCAACTATCTTTGTCTAATGTATTCTCAACTGGTATGAGTTCAGCAGCAATAGAAGCTACACTTTAAAGGTGTGGTCATATTTACCACTGCTCTGCCAAATTTTGCTAATGTGACAGCACCTTAAGAGTAGCTGGGGCTTCATCCACAGAAAAACACTTTTAATATTGAATAGACTGGGCAGAGAACTAGGTCTAAGTTGTGATTCCTGCACTAGAATGCAAACAGATGGCACTTGAAAGCATACAGGTTCCTAGTAGAGAGAGCGCTCACATTCAAACTGGTCTCTATAATCTGAGGTGAAAGACCATATTGAATTAGAGAGCCCCGTTCAAAGGCCATACCCAAAGTTTCCACATCTTTGGCTGAGGATGCCACACACTGCCCAGAGCCTTAGATAGCAGATTGGTTCTGACCTGAATTTCCCAAGGAAACCCCTGAAGGAGAGATATTATATCCAATAACCGTATGGCCAGAATGGTGCCACCAGCAGAAGAGAAACTCTTTCAATATGCAATATGAAAAAATTGACATGACATTGATTTGATGTAAATTTAATGTCAGACATATTGGCCTACATATACATTAAACCAATTTCAGTGTTGGATGAACTTCCTATTTTCACCCAATTACCACTGGAAGAAATTGCCATCCAAACTGAATTTAAACTGATGTTACAGCATCTTGATCAAGTCTTGACTAATATTTGACATCAAATTGATACCAAGTAAGTAAGTAAGTAAAGTTTATTTATATAGCACATTTATCTCAGCAAAGCTGACCAAATTGCTGAACAGAATCAAAGGGTTAAAACATAAAACAAGCAAGACAAACCATAAAACAGTAAAACAATAAAAACAGAGATAAAATCCAATTAGAATGCCTGGGAGTAAAGATATGTTTTCAACATCGTTTTAAAAGTCGTAATAGAAGGTGCAAGGTGAATGTCCAGTGGCTGTTGATTTCCTATCACCCTTTGTTTTTAAACGTGAACGAGGAACAGCTAAAAAAAGCCCTGTCAGAAGATCTTCGAGATCTGGAGGATGAAAGAGGAGTAAGAATATATCAAGGTGCCCGCTCACTCTCTATAGCTTCCAGCTCCACATAGGATTCCCAACGACCCCTGCTCATGTGAACCAGAAAAACAAGGGATCATTGACCCTCCTCCTTTTTCTTGAAAAGAAGGCAAGTTCGCAAGCAGTTCAACATTAAGCACAGCTTCTGCATAGTGAAAGCCCAAACACTTACCGTGAGTGTCCTCCCTAATAATGAAACACAGAAGCACACACATCCTAAAAAAAGGTCGCCA